TGAATGTTCTGAGTCGGATAATGACTTTTCCCTTGTTTGTTCCTCAGTTGCCTCTCGGGGAAAGTTTTGGGGGCGTGGTCGTCGTAAAAGATGATTTGGAATGCTTTTGTATTGTTCGTATTGCTGTTTATCTTTTGGAAGGCTAGGCTTTATTGCGATTTGGTGCTACGCGTGGATGAGGGCGATGATGTGGTCGGGGCTCACATCCCGGTCGTTAAGCTGGTGGCAACCGTTTATTTCTGGATGGTCCGTGCGGGACGGCTTGGACATTTGAAGCCTGGACTGTTTACTGAGCCCACTCTTTGCTTATAATTCGCATTGTTGTTTGGTCGCTTTTATTTTGCTAGGTGTGTGTTGTATTTTATAATTTCCTGTTGGCATTTTAATGAATTTTATTTAAAAAAAATGTTATATTGTATTGATTCGATCGTGCTCCGAGATTGTTGGTGTAGTTGGCTTGCTCCTACCTCTCCATGACACTCTCACGATTAAATTATTATTTAGTCATTAAACCATTCATTAGCTATCACAAATATATGATGCATCCAAATTCTATAAATAAGTATCAGGTCAGGTCAGGTCAGGTCAGGTCAACTCGAATTTGAGGCAGATTGGATCAGAAAAAATGATATTCTAGTACTATCATGTGTTAATTCAATTAATTGCAATCAGATGCACATCTAAATTGTATAACAAAGTATTGATTAGTGTGCTTCTACCTTCCTTTTTTTTTTTTTTTTTTTTTAAAAAAAACTCAGGGGGGCCCCGCGGTATTTTGCATCCCCACACGAGTTTTAAAAACAGGTTAAGCGGTTACAAGGTCCTTAGAAGGAACCTTCAGCTCACTACTGCTCGAAAGAGCTACACGTAAAAAAGTAAAATTAAAACCTATGAGCCGATGGTTCCTTTTCCTACAATTACAAAAATAATTCAAAATTAAACTAGGCCTGTGAGTCAACATAACCCAAAAAAGGAAGCTCATGATGATGTCATTCCGTTCAGTCTTCCTGCAAAAAAACCAATAACAACCAAAATTTGTTAACTTCCAAAATAAACATACCTTGCAGTCTTCCAGCATAGCAAGAAGAAACCACAGCCCCCAACATAAAATGACCAGCAAACTTAGTCTTGCCAAAACCACCATTCAAAGACGTTTAAAGTAAAATTCCCCTCATGCAAGAAACAACAGCAGTTCTACCTTCCTTCTTAGTATTTCTTAGAGATATTCAATGAATATAAGAGGATGTGCTTTCTTAAAAGATTTTCAAGCCCTAATCCATTGTTAAATTTTGGAGGCTTCCACAACATAACCTCATGACATATTATTTCATGTCATCTTAGAATTCTATCTTATTTGTGGTTATTAGACACTCTAGACAACTTAGAAATTTTGTTGGAGAATTTTTAAGATTCCATAGATTCTTAAAAATTAATCTTATTTAGATATTTGAAAGGGCTTTGAGCGTTACATTAATTTTTATACAATTATTATTTTTTCTATATTTTTTAATTGATTGATCATCTAATCACTCCCACAAATATAGATCTAGTTGAAGATGAAGTGCATAAATCTTGATGTCGAATGCCATCCGGAGGCCAACCAGAATGCGCCACATCATCCCTTTGCTCAGTACCATAGCTAGGTATTGCTCGGTACCATGGCTCGGTATTGCTAACGTGACACGTTTTAGTTGGTCTCCGGACAACATTCTGCATCCGGCCTCCACATAGAATGATTTCTCCCTTTATGCAATATATTTTCTATTTATTATTTAGGATTTCATGACACATCATTTTAGGATATAGTAACGTGTTTTACTTTCGTCCCCAACAGCTGTAATGGTTGAAACTTGACCGGATGCTTTGGCCCTTCATAAAAGCTAGCTAGTTTTTTCTTGGTTCGATATTTGTCATGTGTTCTCTTTTGCTATGCAGAATTTTGTCTTTTATTTTGGTCAAAATTTGTTATTTTCACTGATGCTACGAGATTTTTTATCTTTGTGGGCTCTGAGCTATGGTGCGTCAAGTGTTCTTATGTGGCCATTGATCGGAAGCCATATTCAGATATTTTCTCTCAGGAAGCAGTTGAATGGAGCTTGTCATTGCTATCTATTTTGCTGAGCCCATCTGGCTTGTTACCAAGTCTATTTTTTTGCTGAAAAAAATATATGTTGAAATATTTTGATATAGAATGCATTAAGATGGACTTTGAAGCCTATTAATTTTTATTAATATTAATTTTATATGTGATATCATAAATAACGTTAATTTCGATACAAATTAAGAGCTTTGAAGCCTATAATTTGGATCAGAATATTCTAATTATAATATCTCTATGATCAATTTCGAACAAATTTAAAGAACTAAAAAAAATTCATTAATTTTTGCTCCAATCAATGCATTAACATCATAGAAAATTGAACTTGTAATTATATAAAGAGATTTAACTTGATCATGATCCTAATGAGATGTCCATATTGACATTAGAGGGATGTCACACCTAGTAATTTTTTGAAATTATAATTTTGTGTCATGTAGTTTTTTAATGCTCAACATATATTTTTATGCGACATAAAAAGCTTCGGCTTTCGAAAATAAAGAGCAAATGATGTATTTCAAGAAACTTTTTTTGATCAACCACGTAAATTCTTATATAGATTATTTTTGAAATTACATTCAAGATCATTTAAAGTCTCATTCAACAAACTTATTGCAGACTTAATGCCTATGTAAGACAAAACTAAAAACACGAAAAAGGATCCGATCTCAATATAAATGAATACAAATCAAACACTTGAAGAATACATATAGAAATTTCAAGGCATTAATCAAATGACATGGTTTCCAAATATTGCGTGTGACAGGTGAATCTAACAAGCTCAAAATCATTCAATTCGGACTCATTATGCCATTGAAATGCTAAAAGGGATTAATATGGGCTATTCAATGGAGTGTTTTTTTTTTCTGACAAAATTTATCAAAATAATCATATCAAAAAAAGATGTGAATAGTACATTTTTTATAAATATAAAATTAAAATTTTAAACAATATATTATTAATTTCATGTATCACATATTATTTTTAATATAATTAAATTATTATATAATATAAATAAAAAACTTATAAACATGTAGCGACAGAAATATATAGAAAATGCTTATAGAAAAATTTCCAACAAAAAAACTAGCGCAAAAAGTCAAGCTCACGTAAGAAAATCTGAAAATCTTTGGTGGACAGTAGAAATCCCCGCTCCTTCCCGGAAACAGATCTCCCCATTCCACATCCAATTGAACAATGATTTTGGCTACGCGACCGCATCAAAGCCAAACTTCCTCCTTCCTTCCGCCTCTTTTCCTTCCATGACCGAACTCTTATAAAAATATATCTCCTCTCCTCCCTCTCCCATCAACAACCCAGAGCCAAGCTTTTTTCTCAATCTCTCCTCCCAAATCTATCTCATCAAAACATCCAAAACAGAAGGAAAAACAAATGGAGAAGAAGACCACAAGCAATCTCTTGTCTTCAGAACTCATAACTATTCTCATCGTACAGTCCATCATCTCTTTTTTAACAAGATTTCTCAAGCTATCATCAAGATTTCTTTCCCTTAATTGTTATTCCTCAAGAGATCACGTCGATCAAGTAGCACCAAAGAGTCATCTAACAGAAGCGACAAGAGCAGAGCAGGAAATTTTCAAAAGCAGAGAAGCTGCAGAGTTGGTCATGAGGAATATGGGGCTGATCGGAGAAGATGAGCAGCTCAGGGATCTCATGGTGTCAGAAGAAGTTTCTACCATGTTCGAAGACAAGGAGCCGAGCTTTGAGGAAGTGAAAGAGGCTTTTGCTGTGTTTGATGAGAATGGTGATGGGTTTGTGGAAGCAGGGGAGTTGCAGAGGGTTCTTTGCAAGTTAGGGTTTGTGAGAGAAGTTGGATTGGATTTGTGTAAGGAGATGATTTTCCTGCATGATAAGGATGGGGATGGGAGAATAGACTTTGGTGATTTTGTCAAGTTGATGGAGAGCTGCTTCTGCTGATTAGTTGGTGATGGGTTCTCTCTGTTTTAAACTTCTTTTTGGTAAATTTATGTATCATATTTGAAGCGAGATTAGCTATTGAAATACTGCCTAAAGCCAGAAGGAAAGCTGTGATTTACTTTTATCCTCTTTACTTACAATTAAGCAGGAGTTTTTTTTATATATATATAACTGATTTTGTGAATATTTCAAGAAATATGTTTGTAGCAGATTTTTTTAAGATAAAAAGGAGAGAAGATGAAAATATTTGAAAAAAAAAACATTAATATTCACCGTAAAGAAGCTATTATTCACCGGCACGGTATGAATACTTAAATATGGTATTTTGGGTTACAAAAGAACTGAGTGTAGATAAGCTATTTGAGGCTCAATTTGATTACAGCTCGTTTGTGATTATTCAATTAAGTAATTAAATAAATTTGAATATTTTTTAAAAATACTCTATGCTTTAATAAACAAGCTTGAATAATTTTATGTTCTTAAACATCATTGTCTGAAGCTCATCAATATGCTCAATACGAAGTTCGATAAGAAGCTCAGTAAAAGGTCGTTTCAAGTTCGATCCAAAGCTGATAAGAATTCACTCAATGTCTGATATAAATATTGATTAATTCTCATTAAAAAAAATGTTGAACACCCTATTATAAATATTTGATATTCATTATAATTTAGAAATATATTAGTTAATATATCATCAAAAAAATTTATCTTGATCAGGCATGAATCTCAAGGGAAAATCAAGTTGGGAACATTCAAAATTAAATTCAGGATCATATAAACTCCGATTTTAGTAAACTTACAGTCGAACTAAACGTCTCGAAAATATGAATCCAACAACATCAAATTCGACTCAATCCGAGCTCATATTGGTCCAAATCGAAGACCCAAAGCGTATTTGGAATGATCAAACAATAAATTGGATGACCAAACGGTTTCCAAATGTTACATGCTTATAGTCAAATCGAGTAGCTCGACGAGTTAAATCCAACGAGTCCATGATCACTGTATTCTGACATCATTAAGGCATCCAAATGCATAATAAATGGTCCACAATTAAGGGTATCAACATCGATCGTCCATTCACACCACTCCAAACTTATCCTTGATCTCCCTTTTATTTATTGGCCATGTCACTCTTAGAAAATTATAAATAGATCTCTCCTTCTTCGGGGGAGGATGGAGGAAGCATGAAAGCAAGGAAGAGAGAAAAATTAATGCTTTCTTGCCACCAAACTCCTCCTCGACCATCATTAGACCACCGACCGTCATCAAACTATCGCCAGACTTCCACTCGGCCACCGACTGGCATCAGACTTTTGTTCAACCCCCAATTGACGTTGGACTTCCACCCAACTTCCAATTATTGTTAGACTTACTCCCATCCACCAACTGACATCGGACTTCTGTCCGGCCACCAACTAATTCCAAATTTCTTCCTGACCATCGACTAATGTCGGACTTACACCCGGTCACCAACTAACACCATACTTATGCCCAACCATCAACTGAAGCTGAATTTTCATCTAGTTGCAGACTACGGTCCTTCTAACCTCTATTGCTAGACTACAGTTCTTTCTACCTTCATCCCCAGACAACGATCTTTCTGACCACTACCGCTCGCCAGCTATGGTCTTTCTAACCTCCGTAGCTATACAATGGTCTTTCTGACCACTATCTCCTACCTACTACGACCCTTCTGACCTCTGTCGCCAGACTACGGTCCTTCTGACCTTCGTCACTAAGAAATAATTTTTCTCACCTTTGTTACCCGTCGACTACGGTCCTTTCGACCACCGTCATTCGACTATACGAACTTTCCAACCTTCATCGCCTGCTGACTATGATCTTGCCGACCAAATAAACAAGCTAATGCAATCAAGCAGTGCTCTGAAGAACATCCTTATGATGAAACACCGATGAGGTAACTTTAAAGGAAGCTTATATTGGACATGGTTATTACTAGAAGGACTCCATGGGATCAAGTGGTCAATTGGGTCTCTAATCATCCAAAATTCTCAAAGGTAAAAACCATATTACATATATGTATACCTAAAATCAGAAAAGATATAAGATTTTCTAAAAATTTAAGGTCTACACCTCATAAAGTATAATAATAACAAAAATTTTATAAAGCTAAAGTCTCAAAAGATACGTGTACATAAAATCACAAATAGCTAATATCCTCATAAGATACATATTTCTATTCATCCAAAAATCTCATAAGGTAAAAGCCTAAAAAAATTCAAGATTATTTAAAAATCTTTAAAGGTAAGTGCCTTGGAAGAAATATATATAAAGTAAATCTCAGAAGGCAAAAGCTTAAGAATATATATACACGCCTAAAACCTAAGAAGATAGAAACCTTATAAGATTTATGATTATCCAAAAACCCTTAAAAGGCATAAATCTCAGAAGGTACACCAAAAATCTCAATAAGCTAAATGTCACACTCTAAGATCTATATTGAAAGAATTACATCCGTCTTTTATTTTAATCATTTAACTATATATATATTACTAATGAAGAACAGAAAGAAACATGATTGCATTTTTGTCTTATCTGCAGCCACATATTATATGATCATTAATATTTCTTGAAAATATGTAAAATCACGTAATGATAATATAGCAAAGCAAATAACTAAAATCTTACAACTAAAATCAATACAAGTTAAAAGAGAATAATATGCTATAAGTCATGTAAATAAATATTTGCATCAATGTTTATATTGATTATCTATATCAATTTGTCCTTCTATAGTTTATAACATCTCAATCCATTACATTATCAATCACACTAGCAATAATAATTAACAATATTAATCAATGTTAATGTTAAATAGAGATAATGACAGTAACTAATATTAGTGACAGTTATAATATTAATACATTATTTGTAGCAGTATTAGTATTAGTTTAAGATATTCAATTAGTGTACCTTAAGGGTATTTTGCTCATACACTTTTGACTTCCAATCAGTCGCCCCTTATAACTCACAATCCATATACTCCTTATAACTCTACTCGAATCACTTTAATTAATCATATCGGCTTCTTATAACTCCTAATTAATCTCCAGCTCTTTATGACTCCTAATCAGTGAATAATTTGGATAAGTAGGATATCACGTAAAGTTATCATATCATGTATCTGATATAATTCAGTACTTTATTAAAAATATAATAAAATT